ACTCCTTTTAACATTTACAGAGGCCCAACAGTACCACCATGAGCAAGCACTTGGCGACGGGGGCAAGGTAAAACAGACCTTTATTAATCTTATTGCTTGATACAATTTTAAAACTGTAAAGTTATAAGTTAGATAGATAGATAGATATATCTGAGTTAGTACTATTAGTAGTTAGTCAGAGAGCTTGGCTGGTATTGTGAGCAGAGTTTAGTATAACTGCTGCTTACTTTACAGTTTTAAAACTGTATCAAGCACTAAGATTTTAGTTTGCACCGGACTTTCCTGGTTTGCACGGAGAGTCTGCACCAAACCTTCTGAAACATGACTGCCTGTGTACACGGAGAAGATCCTGCACCTGGAAGGAGGGATTTCTTCATAGAAGAAATGACACTGGGTAAAATAGTAAAAAAGTTTTTCACCCAGTTTGCAAATATCAGTATTAGTATAGGTTTTATTATATTTAGTTACTCATGTAAATGTCCAAATCACAGGTATGCCTATCAACATCACTACAGACGCTCAGTGGGAAGTCATAGGCTCTTAGTGACTTACTGACTTGTAAGTACAATGTTGGATATTTAATGTTGGATATTTAAAGTAAATATATTAGAACCTGCACTAAATTCAGTTTCAAATTCATTCCAGTACAGGGTTGTGTCGTCACTAAGCAGGTATGACAAATATGTGACGGCTCTTACTTTGTGGAAAACTGGTCTTCCAGATATGTTGGCCAGTTCAGTGTGTTTACACTGCTGAGCAGCACAGATGGCACACTGTGGTTGTTTTGGTTGAAAACGTGCACTATTGAGCTTTATATAAAACGTCACCATGTTACTGATTTTAATGAAGGAGGATGGTTCTCTAACTAGATTTCACTGAGCTTCATTTTTTATTCAGCATCAATATTGTTACACCTCAACTTAGTATTCTGTTATCTGTCTTTCTTAGGTTGGAACATGGTAGCAGGCTGAGGTGAGGAGGTTGTACCCTCACATCCTGACACTGGGAGATGCTGGCGCTACTCTCCACTATGTGTCAGTTCAGTTCAGTTCAGTTCAG